TGCTACATCGACATGTTTTGTCTAGAAACAATTCTCTGATGACTGTGTTGGGGAAGCAGCATATGCATGTACGTAATTGGTGGATTTGTTATTTATTTCGACGCTCTCGGATAATGGTAGACAATTACCACCTTTTCAATAGTTTCTTGTTGAAAATCAACAGTCTGAAGCATTGTTATCGATGCGTAGAAATATTTCTGATCGATTGGTTATAAAGTTATTGAAATTGGTCCAGGAGCAGCTGAGTTATTAACGTTCAAAATCATTCATAATTTCGTTACATGTTCCATTTGATTGTCAGAATACTTCATACGTGAAGTTTGCGATTTTCAGAGTTGGGAGGAAATGCTAAACTAAAATCAACATGAAGCTTTAGTGCCATAATTTATTAGATAGAGAAACTTTTGAAGAGGATAGATGGATACCCAAAAAACAATTTGTGCTAATTAAAGGCTGAATAAGTAATTTATTAGTTGAAGAAGCATATGTTTGCCGGAATAAGCTCATATTCTGCTTCCAATGTTTGTTGGGTAGTTCCGCTAGAGTACGGCAGTGTTAAAATTGAACAGAAGTTGAAATTCAGCGAAGATCTATTAATGCGACAATACTAATCAAACGCGCACTCCTTTACCTACCTCATACATTGATATATGAGGAGATTTGAGGTATGTCCTCAAACCAATCTGGGGTTTTTTTTTAAAGTTTAAAATTTATTAAAAAAAAAAAAACTGCTTTTGAATTTCCAAAAAATAATGATGTCCCCTTTTGCCTTAAACTAGTGTAAACATCATTCTGTGAGTTTTATACACCGTAAACATTGTTTTTCAAAAGTATGTTAAGAATCTACTTTTATACATATTTGACATTGACTGTGGAAACTTAATTGGTAGCTTCTACTAATATTTACTAACTAAACAGATTATTAAACTCATTTAAATACAACTCTGCAACCCCATGCAGGAACATGAGGTAAAATGAGCGCCCAAAAAACACGAACTTACCGTAACTAGTCTACCGTGGACCCTCGTTAATCTGAACGACACATTGTGCATATTAACGGGTTTAATTTTTAATTTGAACCTCTAATCCTATGATCATCAGAAAAGTGGGTTTCTGGTAAACTTATTTGCTGGTTTGTTTTTATTCTCCGTTCCGTTTTGGATTATTCCATTTCACTTTACTTCATTCCATGTTTGAGCAATTTTTAGTTTAAACGACGTGCTAAGAGATTTTCAGATTAAAAACGGTCAGATTACCGAGGGTTCACGGTATTTAGTTTCGTCTTCCCATACATACACGGAATAGCGCGCATATAATGCAGTGAGTTGTGTACGGATTTTTTTTTATATATTAATTTATTTGTAGAGGCTTAATCGAATACACTTTACAGAGCCGACTTATCATTTGCATTATACATGATTAATGTCTTAAATCTAGAGTTAAAGGAATTGAACCGATTACTCGCGGTCGTCTCGAGGTTAGTGGAGATTTACATTTTTTTGGATGGGGAAAGGGAGAAGGAGGTTTGAAATATGATTTATTATACAAATATTTAATTAATCCTAAAACATGAACTTATTTCTATTCATCTTGAAAACAAACATTTAAAAAAAAACTACACGCACAATACACAAACTAAACACAAGGTTAATCAAACTTACAATCTAAGGTTAGTATTCTTAAAGTAAACATATATGAGTTTCATAAACTCCAGATCACGTCTAGCCAAAATATCCCGAACTGGAACATTAGGTTGTCTACCTCGAGCCCGAAGGGAATCGCACAGCTCAGATCTGACTCCACGATGAGTACGGATTTTGGTGCTGAAGATAGCGGGCTCCCTGCTCGGAGTTTGTTTGAATAATGCTTAAAACTTATTACAATGTTGTCCTTAAATACCAACAACAAAGAATAAAACAAAAGTACAGGAAATTAATTGCAGCTTTTCAACAAATAAACAAAACACCATTTTAAACAAAATACATAAAAGACAACATCAGTATACGAATTCAATGAACAATGAACGATTTACTACTAAAATTAATGTAGTTGTTCTCGTTTGGTACTAAAGAGGGATATTTGTCATCACCGCCGTTAGATTTTAAACCGGGTATAGCCCGACGCCAGTGACGAGAGTAAACAATCAGTGTCCAATAGCAGGGTGGCAAGTGAACCAGAAAAACCGGGAAAAATTCGGGAATTTATTTTCACCAGGAAAAATCGAATTTCATAAGTCCACCAGAAAAATAATCTTGTTTGTATAATTTAAATACGTTTTAAATTTTATGTATGTCAAAGTTTCTTTTTATAATCAGGTCAAAACTAACCATTTTGTTCAAGCTAAATCTTTCACACAGCTAAACATTGATGAACAAAATTTATCCTGAGAATTTAGTAAATATATTTTGTATTTATTTTTAATTTAATTTTTTTTCTCGAATCAATTGCATGTATGATTTGTGCTTAATTGATAGCAGACTTAAGCAGTGCCGACTCGTAACTATTTTGAAGTACCTGTTCAACGTGTTCAATAAGAAAGTTCTATTTCTAAAAACTTCAGATAAGGCCTTCGAACTTCATGCAAGTTCTACAAATTTCAGAGAAGTCTTACGAACTTCAGGGAAGTCCTTTAATCTTTAGGGAATAACTACGAATTTTACAGAATTTTCTACAGATTTAATGTAACTTCTACGACATTTAGGCATTGCTTATAACTTAAGGATAATCCTATGACACTTATGGATTTTTTCCGAGCTTCAGAGAAGTCTTCAATACTCTTGGGAAGTCCTCTGAACTTAACATAGTTCTCCAAGCTCAAAAAAGTTCCTAGAACTTCCGAGAAGTCGATTGCACTACAGGTAGTCCTACGAAGTTAATGGGAGCTCTCCAAACTTCAGGGAATTTCCAAGAAATTAAGGAAAGACCCACAAACTTTTGGAAAACCCTTCGATATTTAAAGCCTTATGAACTTCAGGGAAGCTCTTATAAATTTAGGGGCCTCATATATTCAGTTAAGTCCTTCAAACTTCAGGGAAGTCCTCAGATCTTCGAGAAAGTTCTTCTAACTTGAAGGAAGTCTTACGAACTTCGTGGTACTTCTACGATATTTAAGACATTCCTATGAATTTAAAAAAAAACTCCGAACTTCAGGGAAGTCCTAAGATCTTAAAAAAAGTCCTTCGAACTTCGGAGAAGTCCCATGAAATTCAGGCAGTATAAACTTCAATGAACCCTTCAGGAAAGACCTTAACGCTTCAGGGAAGTTCAACGAACTTCAGGGTGTTTCTATGAACTGCAGCAGTCAGTCTTTTTAATAATAAGAGTTATTAAACCAGCGTTGTTTATGAAATCTTTTAATCATATGATTTTGAAATCATGTTGTAATCAAAATTCCGCTAAATAAGATCCTTAATCGTTTAAAACAAGGAAATTTTTAAATCATTGACCAGGAAAACCAGGAAAAATTTCAAAATTCACTTGCCACCCTGCAATAGATAATGAAATATATATCCCTGGAAGAGTTAAGAAGTTTTTAAAATATTGCTTTTTTATTTATGTCTATGAGAATCTAGATAATGGACCTTATTTGCCAAGCTACTTCGCCTGCATGCGGTTATAAATAGAGATTTGTCGCCTACAACAAAGCTGTGTACTTTGATTTATAAATACTTGTAGAACATTAGAGCCCTCTAACTATTATGGTTTTCGAAACATACACAAAAACAGACAGCGTCAAATATCTCATAAACCAAAAAGATGAGAGGGTTAGTGACAAAGTAGTTTATTTAATAATTATCTACAACTTTGTTCAATACAAGACACCGTTAAAGCTACTCCTTTGAATCCCAACGTACAGCATTATAATGCAGAACCATCAAACTACTAGATTGTAAAATCTTAAAATTTACCCCATTTTCGTCTCTACTGAACCACTGTCAAAGAACAGGTAACCGAGAACGTGCTGAGAATTCAGCTCACAAAAGTTTAAAGCCAATAAATAAAAAACACACGCACCATGTTGCCCGCCTGCAGATTGTTCCAAAGTCCCATCGTTCTAATGGGTTAAGCCGGGTCTAAGTTTTGTAATCCAATTTAGCGGGAGGAAAACAACACACCGACAGCAAACGATTCCCCACCCATGCGGATAAACCTGGGAAGAGCGGAGCATCGAAATTAATAAAGTGGGAAAGATGTACCTGCTGCTAGCTGGCTGGCTGGCTGGCTCTTCTATGCCTATGTGTGTTAGGCTTGCGTTATGATGAAGGGCAATTTAGAGACGATCGTACACTTAACGGTACATTGACGCGATTTGAAAGTATCATCAAGCGTACACGGATGGTAAGGCAAATGGACCGGTGTGGTACATTATGAGAAACTATATTAGCGCGTTTATTCTTCGGATTGGAACTGAGCAGATTTAATTATTATAATGAGATGAGAAGTTGTATTTATTATAGGGCATGTCAGTCCGAGGAGCGGGCACGGCCGAGTTCCGATTCCGACGGCTTACGTAAATGCTAATTGCTGGACGTAATTGATGGATGTAATTTATCTGTCAGCGCCGGACAAAACGATTTTTTCATTCAGCGTTCTTTCCGTGGGCGAGCGAGCGGGTAACCGCTGTTGAGATATATGTATGTGCAATGAATTTACTTATGCTGGGCGGGTTGATTGATATTCAGGCCCTAATTGTAGATAAGCGATTCTAACTGTCTACCCGTGGAAATGCCTATTTCCCTATCTGCGTGGTTCGAATCGGCGAAATGATTTAGTACTGTTTACATATATATAATTAATATTCCGATTGGGGCGATGAAAGTTTGCTCAAGTATTTTATTGATGACGGGCAATGCATTACTACATATGAACTTAAAGAAAAAATAAAAGATAACTGTTTCTTATTTTGTGATCGTTACCAATGCTAACCGTACCATTTTCAAAAATCAAAAATCTTATACATAAGAATTTCAAATAACGAAAGTAATTCTTCAACTCCGCAGTCTAAATGGAGGACCCCAACCGGATGATGAGCCACGGTGGCTTGATGCCACCGAACTATGGCATGCCCGATGGCCAATCGGTAGATAACGACCCCCGCAAGCAGGACATTGGCGAGATCCTACAACAGATCATGAACATCACGGACCAATCGCTGGACGAAGCCCAAGCACGAAAGCACACACTCAACTGTCACAGAATGAAGCCAGTCCTGTTTGCGGTGCTGTGTGAGATCAAAGAGAAAACAGGTTAGTGGAAAAGTCATGTTGCGAAGGTTTTTTTTTCGGTATTTGTTTCTTGTAGCAACAGAGTGCGATACGGGAGAATCTTATCACCAGGGGTTCCCTTTTTTCGGTTGTACATATACCTATATGTTTATACAAATGCGTAGCTCCCGAAAGCGTAGGAGACAAATATGATACGAATGCTATTTTGCCTTATCTAACCGAGGCGAGTTTTTCTGACTCGCTTCTCTATTTATTTTTAAACATTCGGACTAAAGCTGTCAGGTCGGTAGTTCAGGGATATAAGGTGCGCCATCGAGGCTAGCAGTGGAAAAATGTTTGCTTTATCTCTAGCTTTTGTTAACATTTCCACTCGTCGTCGGCGTCGTCGTCCGCACGCCGTTCTGTTTGACACTGCTTGATACACTTTTATCTAATCAAACTGGCGATGACGTGAGAAAGTAGGAATTCCTTTCCAATCGATCAATGGCAATGAACGTGAAAACTATTGAATAATAGTGTTGCCGTGGAAATTATACGTGCCTTTTAGTGGCTACCGGAACTTTACGGCCTGCAAATAATTTATCATCAGTGAGCAACATTGATCAGCAAAGAATGTACCTACCTTCATTTTGCCAGAATTTGAAAACAAAACGAAACCGAATTTGCCACATGGATTTATAATTAGTCAAAGTTTAAAACTCTATATATATAAGATACCTAGGAGATACGGCATCGTTCGATTTTTTTTTTTTCAGATGTAGTCCTGCAGAATGATTCCCTTTTTTTGTCACTAGGTCATTCGTGACTTTTCCGGGGGTGATATTTGATTTAGTGACTTTGTATGGATGCTAACCACTACGCCGGGGTCGCCCCAAAGAATGATTCCTGATCATCCTAAAATGATTAGAAAATATCTGAAGGACTGACTGATGATTCATGATCATCCTGATAGTAATGAGAGAATTTCTGAATGGCTTAATTTGATCTAAACACCTTTATGATTTGGATAACCTATGATATGTTGTCACTGCAAGAGTTATGTTAAAGCTTTACGATGCCCTTCGAATTCGTTTAGTCTGTCTTGACATACACTCAAAAAATTGCACACGTTTGATCGAAGTGTTTAAACACTTGATTTTTTAAATGCACAATCACATTTACTTTAAGTGTATTTCACCTTAGTTCAATGTGTTATACACGTTAATTTCTGGTGTTTCAAACTTTGAAATGTTGAAAATCATTCACTATATATTCAAGTGTATAGCAGATTGAATCACACTACTGTTCAAAACAGATGGATTTAAAGTGTTTTGCATTTCAATACGATGTGAATTGCTTGCTCAGAAAGGTAAACATCGAAAACAAGAGTTGTGACTTTATCCTATCAACCCGCCACATATATGATGACAACCGTGGCACAGTGAGATCGAACGAAGACTCCGGCAGCAGCTCACCCCAACAGTCCATGATCGAATCCCAAATCAGATCCATTAAAAAGATATGTGACAGATCTGGCCTTTGGCAGTTTTGTTTATATATTTGTCGATTCATTTTTAGAGTCGGTAAAGTAGAAGTCGATAAAGTAGAATATTGTAGAATATTGAACTATGTTGTGCAAAGCTATTGATATCACCATATGAGGGACATAGAATCCAAGTGTGTCACAATTCAAATCCATAGTGTTCGGGCATGGTTCATAGCATAAAATTCACACATGAAATGGATGTGTTTCACAATATGCGCAAAATTAAGTGAGAGACACATGATGATGACGTGTGGAATTTTTTGAGTGTACAATACAACAATATGTATAGGGTGTCCCAGAAAGTATAAGCACAGTTTATTATTGGAATAAAACAACGTTATTTTAATGAACTCATATTTTTATTACATATATATGTTCTCTACAGTATTCTCTTTGGGTTGGATGAAAATAATCCGCAGTTCCTTTAATCGTATGTCAATGCGATTTTAATCTGAAGCTACCCATGGCTACTTTTGTCCAGTCTTTTTCAAATTATTCGGTTGAATTCACTGCCTTAAAGTGTTTCCGTAGATATCCCTTGGAAAAGACCCAACAAGTTTCGATTGACCGGGTCTCCGGACTATACGGAGGATTCTTCTCTTTTGGCGCGTATCGCACATTGTTTGCTTTGTACTAAGCTACCATGTCTTTCGAGTGGTGCATTGACAAAAATCGGAACAAAATAGTACTGGGCCATCATGTTGATGGATCATGGGTCGCAGACGCCGATGCAAACACTTAGACAGCTTGCCACACTCACGTCTCGCTTGCCAAACCATGGCCTTCTTACTAAATTTATCGGTAAAAAATTGACTTATCAGCATCGTCAACTTCCTGATCACCACGGACTGTGTAGTATTGGTCTTCCGGAAGTGTCTTGTAGTCAATTTTGACGTATGTTTCATCGTCCATGATAACACACGCCAATTCGCCAAGCAGGCTATCATATAGCTTTCGACCCCTCGGTTTGACGGATGCGGCTTATTTCTCACTTCGTTTCGGCTTCTTGAACGGTTTCAGCACGTTCCTTGCCTTGCCTTGCCAAATCTCGAACAGAGGCACTTTTTAGTCCACTTTTCGGTTCACCGGTCCCGGTTTACGGCCAGATTTTGATGTGTCCTCGAAGGTAACTTCTTCACCGAACTTCCTAATGGTGGTTTGGACTGCTCCAATTTTTACTTCTCCTTTTTTGCCAACTTCCTCACTGATAGGTTGGGGATAGTGCACCATTTGTGCACGATGTGTTTGTGCTTTTCCGGGGAAATGCCTCGCATTTTGATGATTTTGTAAAAAAAAAATGCACTTTGTGCACACAAACTTGATGAGTAATAAGTAAACAACAACACACAACGATGATCAGCTGATAAACTTCATCGGGGTAGAAATGGCGCCGAGTTGAAAGTGTGCTTATATGTTCTTTCTGGGACATCCTATATTACATATTGTGATACCGTATGCGTGATAATGTTTGCACCATTGAGTAATGTCTTTTTTTTATTTATTCAAAGGGGGGATGTTTCTCAGAGTCTTAAACTATGTTAATCATCGATCGAGTTTCCACTGGCTGCAATTACGGCCTCCACGCGCTTCCGGAATGCACGGCAGGTTCTAATAATGTAGTCTGGATCCATTTCTCTCCAGGTACGGATCAATGTTTGTCTGAGGCTTGCTGTACTCGGGTGGCGTTTAGAACAGGCCTTGGCCTTCATGACGTGCCACATTGAGTAATCCAGCGGATTAAGATCGGGGCTAGATGGCGGCCACATATCCTTCGCCCAGAACGGAAGATGTGTGGCACGGAGCCCCATCTTGTTGAAATACAACATTTGGCTTCGGACCGTACTGTTCTTTGATCCACGGAAGAACATACTTACTTAAAATCCCGATGTAGACCTGCGTGTTGACCTTGTCACCTTCTGGAATGAACACTGGGTCCATTTTTTTGCCATCGGAAGCCACCAATCCAAACACCATAACGCTAGCAGGATGCTTGGTCAGATACACGTTCTTGTGCTCGTCGGCCACGTCTTTTACCGGAAGAGAACTAATATACCGGTCGGTTCTGGAATTCGATACGGGATCGACGGTAAACATGCTCTCGTCGGTGAACAGGATTACCGGATTTTTTCGCTTAAGGAAGTTCAAGATTTTCCTGCGTCGTTCGACTCGTAGCTCCCGGATGCGGTTGGTTTTTTTTCCGTGCCCTCGACTTCGCCCCGCAATCCTCCTTTACAATCTTCCGTGCCGTAATGTCACTGATCCCGTGTTCCTTTGCCATTTTCCTTATTGAACGCACTGGATTCACCCGATTCTTCCTTTTGATAGCAGCGATAGCCCTCGGAACCCGAGCTGACCTCGGACGACCTGTGGCCACCTTCGCGGATAGTTGTCCTTTCTTTTCTCGGTCTACAACCCTTTTGACGGTCCACCGGGACACTCCCACGGCGATTGAAATGTCTTTTTGCGACATTTGCGCGTAGGTCAAATCACGAATACGCTGCCACTTCGTCATGGTGCAACTGTCAAACTAAGTAAATCATTTTCTTTTATACACAGCCTACTACGGTATGACCAAGGCATTGTATGCACAGGTAAAACGGAAACTTTATTTGTACGATGATGCAAACATTATCACGCATACGGTAAATACTCACGTAGATCTACAGATTCGTACATACAGTCGGAAAATCGTGAAAATTTTGTGAGCCTGTTTAACTTCAAAATTTTTACTTCAGGACGGTTAGGAGAACCTAAGATATGTTTTTATAGTCGTAGATGTCCGAACTACTGTTATAATCTTATAATGAAGCTCCTACGGATTCATAAAGTCGAACCAACGTGGAAAACTTTATAATCAGAACTCCGGGCATTTTGGAGCATCTAAGATATTTTGCTGATACAACAAATATTCCAAATGATTTGATACAGCCCAACGGTATATAGACTTCTCTGACGTTTGTGAAATGCGCAAGTATTAGTGCAGAACTTGGGGTAAATTATAAGTACACAGCAAAAAAATAATTTTGATATCACGTCAAAGTGGATGCACTACAATCATGTCGAAAATATGGTGTAATATTACTTGCTAAAAAGGACAAAATTATCATTAATACAATGCATGAACTGACATTACGCTGCTTTTACTGCATTTGTTTATTTATGTGGTCATAAAAATTACATGAAATTTTCGACATGATTGTAGTGCATCCACTTTGATGTGATATCAAAATTATTTTTTTGCTGTGTATCAGTGCAAGAAAACCTTTGAATTCACTCAAAATTCTGCACTAATACTTGTGCAATTCATAAACGTCAGAGAAGTCTATTAAATCAACAACTCGTTTACACATACATTCAAAAATTACATCTGTTCTAAAATGAACCATTCCACCAAATTCCAAGAAGTTCCGACCTGAAATTTCTTCTACATATATCCCATATCCAGCACTTTACGAGCGCAAATGGCCGCCACAATCTGGTTGAGTTTCTGGTAGGC